ATATTGATTGTGTTTAACTCATTAGCAGGGAAAAAAATTGATCAACAAAAAAGATCAACGAGAGTAACTTTTGTTGAATGCAAACTGTAAACAGATGAATGATGAAAGATTGATGTTGTCTGATTAAAGTTTGGTAAAGTTTAAAGGTCAAGTTGCCATAAAAAGTGGCAAATAGTTTAATCAAGTTGATCATGAATGGTTATAAAAAGGTATTTCATGTTTCCATCAACTGAACAATAATTTTAAGAGTAACAGTTTCATCTGCTTGTGCCCAGTAGATATTGAATCAACTAATACAATTACTGGTGTCATTATGAAGAGCATTTTGTCTGCAATTCCAGACAGATAAACATTAACCAGGATCAAAATCTGGTGAAACCAAAATATTACAACCAGAACTTTTGTCTTTCCTTTTTACCATCATTCATTTGAAAATGCTCCCTCAGGGCTTCTATTCAATAATTCAACTCTTTTCCCCTCTTGAATTACCTTTGTTTGTTCCAATCTTGATGAACATGATGATGCTGAGAAGGAAGGAAACAAAGAAAAGTTTACCTAAATTCAAAGCTTCTTGACAGATTTCATGCTGAGTGGGTTTACTTTCTCTTTCGGCCCAGAAATGAAGGAAAAAGTAAACAAAACTTTTGTTTTATTCATCTAATTGGGAATCCAAATTTCACCTCAACATGCACCATGCACCCGGCAGTATTTCAACCAGTCTGTGGTGTAGATATTATTGAATATAAATGAATTTCCGAAACAATTCATTTGCAAACCTTTTTCTTATTCAACTCTTGTTTAACTTTCAATAAGATGAACGATTCGCTTTTTCTGGCTTTTCCTTCATTTCCTTATTAGTTTCATCCTTCAATCAATATTCATTAACATATGGAATGAAAATACATGAAAACACTTTGAGCCAACGAAGACTAGAAAAGCACAATTTATACTTTCAATTGATTCTTCATTTAGATTGATTAATGAAAATTCTTGTCCAATGTCGCGAGAAATGGATCGCAAGGATTAAGATGACACCAATCACTAGAGTCGCATTAGATTTACAAGTTTCGCTAAAAATAATGCAAAACCAACGATTCAACGCTATTAATGATCAGATTCACCAAACTCAAGTTTCAGCAATTAGAGCTGCTAAAAAGCAAATAAAAGGAAATTGACAAAAAGTTGACTCACACAATCATCATCATTGTTGATCGACACAGCTGTCATTTTATCAAATAATCTGGTGTCGAATCAAAGAAGGTCATTTTTAGATTCAAGTTGAAACGATTGATTAAGATATAATCAACTTTATTCATTACAACGTCCATTACAATATTTTGTTCAATGCAATAACAATGAAAAAAGTTGAATATCAATCAATTGAGAGTCTGACTAAAATGAACACAATTTTTGTGTAAGCTAATAGTCAATAGCTGGAAACCTAGTACTTACTGTGAGTATAAAAATAAGTAGTTATTAAAATTGGAGTAAATAATGGAATAAGTGAATTCTGTAAACAGTAAATGTTCAGAAAGCAATTTCCAATCAATAACAAGTGAGAAAACTGAAAAAGCTGATCGTTAATATTATCCTGGTGAACCATGCAAGTTTATATAATCAGATCAATAATCTATGTTAATCATTTAGGAATTACTTTTTTCTCATTGTACATTGATACAATAACAAGGCAGACAAACAATATTAGCTACAGATTAAGGTTTTTTGTTTTTCAATTGCTATTGAATAGACAAAAAAATGAACTCCAAACTGGAAACATTGTTAAACCGAATAAGGTTTCTCTTTAGTTTTGCGATTTACCTGTTTTCATCTTTCCTTTAATACACAAATCAAAAGCGATTAGTTGAAGTACGAAATGATGATAATAGGAAATCAATTAACTATAGATAATTTCCATACAAATTGATTCAATTAGCTGATTGAAAAGGTTCATTTTTCATTTCAACAGATAACTGATAAATATTGATGAATATTTAAATTTTCAATTCACTAATCTTGTTAACATCAATTATCGGTAAAATTATTATTAGAATTGATTAGTAATTAAATTGTTATTTAAGCGTATTTATGAGGAAGTGTTGCAGCGATTGATTTGAATCGGAAAAAAGGTTCAAAAATTGAAAATCGACACCAAATGGCCAAGTTATATTGCGACTGCAGTCGTAAACAGATTAGAAACAAAAAGATATTGCCTTTTGCGTATTTGATTAGTGCCTCAAGTTAGTTTAATAAAGAGTATAAAAATACTTTAATATTTGGTATTATCATGAATGAGAGTGTAATAACACTTGAAAGTATCATCAAGACCAAAGATATAGTTAATTGAATTATGCTAATGAAACAAAGTGCTCAAAAAATAGCAATATTGTTAACGCTCATGTTGATCAGAAGGAAGATATAGCGTGATAATCAAGTAATTAAAAAGCAAGACTAACAAGATGGAGATAATGATGGTCACAGAATGGATGATGATGAGAAAAGAGTTTCAGGTAAAAATAATTTCAATGAGAAGATGAAAGTAAACAAGTGAAAAACTGTCAAATGTTGTGTTAAGGTGAGAGATATTTTGAGATAAATTAAAGTTAAATATTGAGATAAATAATTGCGATAATTAGGATTGGGTCGGCAATTTTTAACTGACCAAGAATGATCATTACAATGCATCAACATTTTCCTTTTGACAAAAGCCGGTTAAAGATAATTTAAGGTGAAAACATATTGGTTGATGGTTAATCAGGTGAATTGTTTTTAAACTGGAAATGTTATTTTTGGCAGATTTGTAAGTCAACATTTAACAAGGGTGTTTAAAGGGCTCATTTGATGGATAAATAAGTGCCAATTAGTTGGTTCATATTTAGTTATGAACTTACATGTCAATTGTGATTTACTGATTACTTGTATTCAGATTCATTGGTGAAAAGGTTAACCATTAAAGATTGTTTTTTGAAAAGATATTCAAGTTTCAAATGTAAAAAGATAAATTTCAGGGTAAATCTTATTCAGTTTATTCAAGTTACCCAATTATGCTCAATGAGCATCAAGTTCAGTGAACTAATATGGATTGAATAATCAATTTGATATTGTAATTCAATGAATAATGATTCAGTTTCTGGCTCGATATCAATGATTCACCTCGGAATACAAAATGATCAGATTAATGTTTAGACTTGATTGTTATCAAGTTGCTGGAAATTGTTTTGTCTGAAAAATTCTGGTAAATTTTTCTTCTTTCACTTAAAATCCCGGGTAAAACTGGCGATTAAAAGTGAACTGAGAAAAGGCGATTGTTGGATGAAAATGAAGAGGATTACAAGGGAATGAAGTAAACAGATTAATGGTAACATCAATTATCAATCGATGAAGAATAAAAAGGAATAAAGTTGATAAAAAGTTGTAAATGCATGATGAAAAGAAACAGAAAATTTGTTGTAATAACAAATGCAAGGTGAAAAAGTGCAGATAAATTTCACCTTATAAAGTAAAGTGATTATAAAATACAAAAAAAGTAAGCAACCTTATTAGTGTTTGTTTTTTTAGGCAATACAGGGTTAGGAGTCTGGATATTGGTTTCAAATACTCTGGAGAATGTCCAGAACACAGAATAATGAAGATAACAAGTTTCAAGAACATGAAATATTTTTCCTTGAGCAAAGAAAACAGAAGACAATTTGTTGAAGAGGATATTTCGTTGAGGAATCTACAGCTAAATCTTTCTTCCAACTATTGATGTTATTTCTTACTTTTTTTGTTCATTCCATTGCTTTCGATACTTTCTGTCTTCCTATTGTAATACTTGATTCTTTCATCTTCATGACTTTGTTCATCATATCTATAGATAATGGACATTTTTTTCAGTTGCACCGAAATTTATATAATGATAATCTTATACCCAGGCAAAGGTGAAGATAAAAAAAAAGAGTTTCTCTTTTCTTGTTGATAACTTGATTTCCCAAGATAATTATTTTTTCGTTATTCTGTTCATTTTATTGCTAACAAAATAAAAATGTTCAAGAAAAGAGTGAATAAAGTTTTCACCTTCATCAGTGAAATGTGTATAAATTGGGAATCGCATTAGTAAACAGAATTAGTTAAAGACTGAAAGAATTGTAATAAGAAAATTTTCATTTACAGTAAATTGTGTGTTCAATGGAAACTGTTTGTCTTTTCAGATTAATCAAAATAGGAAATTCAGATGATAAAGGGTAGAAAGGCAATGGAATGAGAAACGATGCAAGGAAAAAAAGAAAAGGTATTTTGTCAGAAGTTAAGAGTGAAAATAATGGATGAGTAAAGTTTCCAGTTATTTGGATAAGACTAACGTCTCTGACTACTGTTACTTGATGCTACAGGCTTGTTGACACTCCTTTCATATCGATCGAAGACTGAGGAAGACAGAAATGGATAACGAAAAGAAACGTAACAGGCTAACAAGAATTGCTGAATTTCAAGTCCATCCACAATTGGTAATCCTGCTGAGCATGGTTAGATAACATGATAGAGATAAAAGGCATTTTTCTTCTGATGTTGTTTCCATTTCAGTGAAAAAAACTGGGAAAACTTGGCGACCTTTAATGTGGTTCTAACATTTACAGAACAAAAAGGTGAGATGAATTGGAATGATAATATTTGATATCATGATGGTGAATATAAATGATTATTACAAATGAAATGGTTAAAAGAGAAAGGATAAAGTCTTTTTGCTTATTGTTACTGTTGTATTGAATACAATTGATTCGCCTTATTGGCTAGCAATTGATTGAAACAAGTTGCATTATAACATAAACTATTCGCATTGAATAATAATGGAGTCGACTGTATGATGATGATTCAACAAAATGATGAATCCAGTAAAGAATTGAAAAAACATTTGACTGACCATTGGAATTGGAATAAAGAGAAACGTTGAAATCGATTGAATGTTGGTAAATATCATTGATGGATAACAATGAAAGGTAAACTTGACAAATAATTAGACTACTTACAGAGCCCATTGTAATGGTTCCACTTTTATTGATTGGTATATTGAGACAAGAACATCTCGAGGAAAATCTTGTCCATCATTGAGATCAGAAAGGTTATCAATGAATTCGTTGCAGGTCATTTTACGGCCAACATTCTGGTAAAAAAGTAAATGAAATAAAAGCATATTCAAGTATAATTATTGAGAATAATTTATGCAACTAATTTGTTATTCTTGGTGCATCAGTTTGTCTCTCAGTCAGGTAAAGGCAACATTAAAAGATGATGAAGGTAAAAAGAGAAACAAAAATATTTTTTTTTGTTGATTAAATATCTTTATATCATGGGATCGTCAAATTGAAAAACATAATCATTGATTCAAAATGAACAGTTTTTCAAGTGTATGAGCAATGATGCAGATAAAGTTTCAAATGAATGCAATTTTTATGTTTAAATGTATTTCCTATTCATCTAAATGTTTTTCAATTTTTTCTTCTTCTTTTTTTTGCACAGACTGAACAAATCTGAACAGTTTGATGCTGATTTTTTTTGGTAAATGAATATGAATGATAAAGGAAGAATATGCAAGATTAATAAATGACAGAAGATGAAAAGCGGGGCAAATGATTTATACAAACAATGATGGAAACAAGGTTAGATAATAGGAAGATAAAATGATAATGAGAGATGAAAATTTTCTTCTCCTCATGATATGAAATTTAGCATCATTATGTATGAAGGAAGAGAAAGAAATGCTAAATGGCCATCCATTGAAAATAACAGAGAGAAAAGAAAATAAGATTCTGTTTGGATAATTTTTTTCCCTTCAATTCCTTTTCTTCTCAGATTGTCAAAGAATGAAATTTCATTCGTTTAAAAGTGACTTCAGCTGCTTTTAGTTTATACTTGATTTGCCTTCTAATCATCAGCCATTATCATCCATATGCACTGTCCATTTACAGCTAAATTTATTGCTTTGATCAGTAAAAAAGATTCAACCTTTTGCCATCCTTTTACGAATAGTGCATACATTTGTTATGTTAAAGTTAACCTTTCAGTAAAACAAATAATTGGATGAAAAATAATCTCAATTGACCTTTAAATATCGCATAATATGAATAAATACAATTGTAAACAAATCAGGGAAAAGTCAAGTTGAAAGAGGTAGACAGTGAGACAAAACTGACAGAACCTGATGAGGCAGAAAGATGTGAACTTTATCAATTGGATAACATAAAAGGTAACCAGTTAAATGACAGGAATATGATAGGCTTTTGCACGGTTATTGTATCAACTTACCTCACCATGGAGATCGGTGTTAAGTAACATTATGGCGCAGGTAAGGGTATGAAGAGCATCGGTTGACTTTAATGAATCTGGATTACAATCAAGATAACGTTTACTGAAATGTTGTAAAACCCTTTCTCTTTCTTGGGTCTCTCCAATCAAACAAAATGAGGCTAAAAATTTTCTCAAGGCATCGTCCAATTTATCACCTTTAAAATCAAAAAATTTAAGATACTCTTCGGCAACTGTCCGAGAGAAATCGTTATTTTTGGAAAGATGGCGACAAACATCGGAACGTTTGAAACCCTCTAAATGATATAAACGTTTGGCTAATCGGGAAGCAGCATCTCGATCGATACTTTTGGGTGGTGAATAGTGACAATTCTCGGGTATCTCCATTTCATCTTCTGAGCTTGATTCATTTTCAGAAGTCGAAGAGGATGACGATGAAATTGAAGATGTGTTTAAATTCAATACTGGACAAGAGGTTTCTTGGTTTTCCTGAGAAGTTGTCTCTTGGTTTGGCTCATTTTCTGCTTCATCTGATTGTTGCGATTCTTGTTCTTGGTCTTGCGGTTGTTTCTCTTCTTCTACTGAGCTAGGTAAGGCTTGATGCTGTTCTTGGTCGAAATTATTTTCTTCATTATCACAAATTTTCTGATGAGAGGTTCTCAGTTCTTCTTCTTGGTGTAATCCTTGTTCTGACTGTTCTGATTGTTCTTCCTCTTCTTGTTCCTCTTGCTGTACTTGCTGTAAAAGCTGTACTGGCTGTTCTTGCTGTTCTTGTTGTTGCTCTCCTTCCATGGATGTTGGTGTGGTGGGTAGATTGGGCGAAGTTTGTCGATGTTGCTGGTTTTGTTGATCAAGATCATTTCCAACTAAATCATCACAAAGCTTTTGGTGGAAGAGTTGTTGATACTTTTGGCGTTGTTGGTATTGATATTCAAAATGTTCATAAAAATTTGCTTTACCCATATCAGAATTATTGAAGTTATCTGGATTTTTAGCATCAAGAGGGAAAAAAGATGGATATCTGATGGAGTTCACATTTGGTGAACATGGTAGTTTATGATTAGATCCTTTATTACCAATGTTGTTATTATGATGATGACTATAGTGATGGGCACGATTATTATTGAGTGTGGCTGACGTTGTTGTTGGTATTGTTGATGATGATGATGTTGTTTTGGTTGTTGTTACAGTCACTGTTACTGTTTTACTTTCACTAGAAACACAGGGACCATTTAATGTAACATTGGGTGAAACATTGACAGGATGAGTTGACTCATTGGCAGAATCTGATGTAGAATCAGAGGAAATTTCAGAAGAGGCATATGAAGATGACCAGGAGGGTGTTGCCACATGTTTACGATGATTAGGTGATGGATGTGAATGGTGTTGTTGATGGCGTAAACCTTTATAAGAGAGAACGGGTATTTGATTATCCTTGTTAGTATATCTAGGAATACATGGTGATGATCCATTTGAATAATCTCGAGACACAGGTTTAATGGCTTCTAATCCACTGGATACATTACTTAAAGAGCAGCCTTTAGACATGCTTGATTCTCTTTGATCCATTCCACTACAAGTAGAAGTATTCGCTGATTTTGTTGTTGATATTATTTGAGTAGCTGCTCCTGAGGCTAATTCAGCATCTCCTCCTCCTCCTCCTCCTCCTGTTGATGATGATAACTTACTGGGTGATGATGATTCTTTGGAAGAAAATTCAGAGTAAAGAGGGAGTGAGTTGATAAGGGAGCAATAAGTCATAAACATGGGCAAAGATGTAAGAGTTTAGAGAAAAAATTAGATGAAATGACATCAAAATAGCTTAGACAGTGAATGATGGTTTAAAAACATGATACAAACAAAACAGGTAAACAAAAAGCAAAACAAATGAAAATCGGTACATCCAGCGACTTCGATTTACAGACTAGTTTAGAGTAAGGAAGAAAAGCTAAAACAGCTTGGCATGTAGTAGGATAAAAATGGACATATTTTACTTTGAGATACCAAAAAAGGTAATAATGAGGGGGGAAAGGATCAGATTGACAGAAGCTAGATTGCAGCAAGTTTGTTTTGCTATAAAGATAATAAATCTCATACAACTTGATAAACCAGAAAAACAAAAGTTGCCACAACTGGTTACTTTAACCGAGATTGTTACACTCCCCTTCAGTTACTATTTTAACCGGTTATTGTCAATTTCAACGCCATCTCTTAGCCTTTCCAAGTGAATCCACAATTAATTCAAAGCACAGATAAACAACTCTTTTAAAACTGATGACATCCATTAATAATTGATTTTCACACAATCAAAATATTCTCTAACAAAAATGGGTTCTTCGATTTCACTAATTAATAAACAATTGTTCGATTGTTTCATATTTAAAAAAAAAACAGCTGAAGTCGGGTTATGTGGTGCCATCTAATGTTGCAAAAGCTATACAGAACCAGATTCTAACCTAAACCTGAGGATTCTTTAATTAATTAAATTACTTCTTAACCAGTATTCTTGGTTATTTAATAACAGAGTTATAAATGATTAACTGACGGGTTTTCAAAAATATCGACAAATATTTAGATGAATTAATTGTTACTGATAAACATAAAGAAACATGAATTGATTAATCATGTGCTGACATCTAGACCTGCTTAAAATAGCTACAAGTCTAATACAATTCATAATGTTCAATCAACTATCGTTAAAATTCTTAAGAGTTATTTCCATGAAATGATACTTAATATGTGCTAAAACAGATCAGTGTATGAATATAAAGAAACACTTGGGTTGAAAAATTAAAATTCTTGCTTGTCCGACTTAAGCACTTGGTCGAGATTTGATCGCTAATGGTGTTCCAAATGTTTATGTCCAAACGCAGAAGCCATCCCAAGCTGTGTTACTCGTCTCTAGTCAAGCTAAATGGATGTAAAATGTTGCTTCTCATGCGGACGATATTCCAATGGTTTTTGGTCACCCATTTTCCCAACTTTCCCCATTCAAAAATTAAGATGTTTTTCTGTCATTTCTCATGATTGACATTTGGACAAAGTTTGCCAGAGATGGGTAAGTGAATTTATTTTATCATTTTAGCTGCTTCTTCTTAATATTCATAAATTGTTCTCCTTCGACACAGTAAACCACCACAAATCTCTCACCGAGAATGGTTGCCCTGGAACTTAAGTGATTCTATTCCTTATCCCAGTATGGTTCTCAACTCCAACAAAATTGGTTTGATTGAAACCAAATCTGTTGAGTTCTGTATCAAAAATTGGCCTTTCCCACTCGACAAACATTACAATATGGATTTCGAAACAGGTAAGTTTTACTCTAAAGCATAATTTGTAATTTTATTCAGAATTGTTGACACTCATATCGTCTTTTTCATTCTTTCACAGGGGTCTATGCCAAAATGGAAGAGGACCATGACGAGCTTTAGAGGTGCTGACGTTTACCAATTTTTGGGGATTTCGTTCGCTGAACCTCCGATGAATGAGCTACGTTTCATACATATTGGGCAATTTTTAAAAATCTTCATGTTGTACAATAAACAGATTTATTTTAGCAGTAATCATGTAACTTGAAGAAATTAAAGAAGTTCGTTGAGTTTGTGTAAAAATTTTTTTTTCATTGTGATTCAGAGAGCGAGAGTAAACCTTTGACTGATGTGAAGATGCCAGAGTATAGTTTTATGAGCTTATCTTAAGGCGACCTGGCAGTAGAGTCCGCATTTTAGGTTAGTCGTAAAGCGTCACAGTCTGAATGAGTGTCCAAAGAGGTTGTGATTTCGAACTTGTAAGACTGATAATTATTCCCTTGTAAACATAAGTTATTATAACATATAGCAAGCTGTTGTTACTAAAAAGACACAATTGTCACATTTTTGCACAAATAGACAATTGCTGTGAGACAAAAGGCTAAAGCGGGTAAAAATAAATTTTCTTTGAATTTAGACACTCTTGGTTTTGTAGGGAGATGAAAACTGAATCCATTAGTGCTATCAGAAAATTTCTCCGATGGACAGTTTGTAATAAAATCGAGTCTAAAGTTGAAACTTCGATCGCCTTTTATTCAATTATGGAAGCAGATTTTTCAATGAAACTTATTTCCGTTGATGTAAATTTTGGTGCCTAACCAGAAAATGTACTTATTTTGAAAAATAAAATTGTCTGTTACCTTCAAGACGGATCAGTTCGATTTTTAATTAAACCTGTCGCATTCTGTGACCGTAGAAATTACAGATCTGAAACTTATTATTTGTTTATAAAAATTGTTTGTACACATCAAGACTTAATTATTTTTTGCAATTTATCGCCAGTTCTTTTGATTTTGGCCGTTGGACTCTAAACTTCTAAACTCGATATTTCGAGAATGGTTGTACCTACAGTCACAATTATTTCACCAATCTAATCCTTTACCAATGAATAATTCAATTTGATCCAAGAAATTTCCATTAGAGCATTTGGTTCATTATTTTTGGGTCTAGAATGTAGAAGAAACAACTTATTAAACAAAATAAACTCATCTCAAACCATTTGTTGGTAAATGAACCAATTTTCTGGTTAGACTTTCAAATCAAATTCAAAAAGTAATACCAAAGACTCCAGAATTTGATTTTGAAGATACAACTTGGTGCGTTTGTAGCGACATCAAAACTACGTCTATTGGTACTATTAACTAACTCACCCGATGATTATTCTCTTAGAAAATTAAGATCAAAGTTTAAACTTCGATCGACTTTTGTTCAGCAATGGAAGAATATTTTTTCATGAAACTCATTTAAATGATTAAGCTTGCGATGATTAACCAGAAAATATACTTATTTCGAGCAATAAAACTTTTATATTTCTTTGAAATAGATTAGTTCGATTTTTAGTCAAACCTGTCGCATTCTAAGACGAAAAGGTTTAAAGATCTGAAACTTATTATCTGTCAGTCAAAATTACTTTTTCACATCATGGATTGAATAATTTTTTCAATTTGTCAACAGTTCTCTTGATTTTGGCCTTTGAACTGAAAACTTTGAGCCTCGATATTTCGTGTATGGTTGTACCTACAGTCACAATTATTTCCCCAATCTAATCCTTTACTAATTAAGAATTTAATTCCATGTAATAAATATTCATTTGTGCATTGGGTTTGTAATTTTTGGGTCTAGAATGTAGAAGAAACAACTTATTCACCAAACAAAGCTCATCTCAACCCATTTGTTGGTAAATAAACCAATTTCCTGGTTAAACTTGCAAATGAAATGCAAAAAGTACTGCTCAAGACTCGAACATTTGAGGTAACAGTTTAAACTTTTGTAGATTTGTAGCGACATAAAAACTAAGTCCATTGGTGGTATTAAATAGTTCATGCGATAGACTGTTTCCGAGAAAATTAAGATCAAAGTTGAAACTTCGATCTCCTTTTGTTCAGCAATGGAAGGATATTTTTTGATGAAACTCATTTTAATGATTTAGCTTTCAATGATTAACCAGAAAATGTACTTATTTCGAGCAATAAAACTTTTATTTTTCTTTAAAACAGATTAGTTCGATTTTTAGTCAAACCTGTCGCATTCTGTGATGAAAAGGGTTAGAGATCTGAAACTTATTATTTGTCAGTCAAAATTGCTTCTTCACATTTGAGATTGAATAATTTTTTCAATTTGTCAATAGTTCTTTTTATTTTGGCCTTTGAACTGAAAACTTTGAGCATTGATATTTCGAACATGCAAACACCTACAGTCTTCATTCTTTCACCAAACATTAGATTATCTTATGGGGTATAGTATATTGAAATATAAAGTTATTCAAGATCCTACGAGAAAATTTACATTATTTATGTTTTCAGATTTGAGACTTAGGTTGTAAAGTTGATAAGTGAATCTATGCTTTGAAAGGATTTTCATCATTAAATGAATTAGATCGGATTTTTTCATAATTCAGTTATACACTGTTCTAGTCCATAGTGGTACTAATGTTCGGTGAAAGAATGATGACTGTAGGTGTTTGCATGTTGCAAATATCAATGCTCAAAGTTTTCAGTTCAAAGGCCAAAATAAAAAGAACTATTGACAAATTGAAAAAATTATTCAATCCAAAATGTGAAGAAGCAATTTTGACTGACAAATAATAAGTTTCAGATCTCTAACCCTTTTCGTCACAGAATGCGACAGGTTTAAGCAAAAATCGTACTGATTTGTTTTGCAGAAAACAAAAAGTTTTATTTCTCTAAACAAGTATATTTTCTGGTTAATCATCGGAAATTAAATCATTGCAATGAGTTTCATGAAAAAATATCCTTCCATAGCTGAACAAAAGGCGATCGAAGTTTCATTTTTGATCTTGATTTCCCGTGAGACTAATCATCAGCTGAGTTAGCTAACAGTATCAATAGACGTAGTTCTGATGTCCCTAAATCGTCATCAAGCAGTCATGATCGGGCTCAGCTTGTTATTCATAAAAATCATTCCTTATTACTAACGCAAAGAGTGCCAAGCTAATCCTGGACAGGTTGTAGCTAGAACTTTTATTAATCCCTTAAAATAGAAAGTTAATATTGAGTTAAAAGCACAATAGAAACACGATTGGAATGACATGGAATAACATGATTGTCTTTTCTGTGATTTCTTCAAATTGAACGGTCTTTTTGCGACCTTAGATTTTAATTAAAAGGATAAAGTAACTTTGAATAATCAATGAATAATGATGATCAAGGTCAATTAGTCAGACAATTTATGAACCAATGAAGCAATGAAATTAATGGAAAGGTGTTTTGTTAAGGTAACCATGAAAAGATGAGAATGATGATCATGTGGATGAAAAGGAGCATAAAAGTAAAGGCGATCCTGGAGATGAAATATTTTGTCCATTCATTTTTACTTGGAATGGCAAGAGTTTCCATGAAATAAGATAGCAGTGAATTGAAGCTCGAGAGGAAAGAAAAATATTAATATAATAAATTATATTCTGTTGGCGTTTTTTTTCATTGCCTATTGTTGTTTATCATGGAAATAACAAAGAGTAAGAAAATCTTTGTTACTGGGAATTTACCTAATCTTGGTTATTGAAACAATCATTTTACTCAATTCATCTGATTCCAAACCCAATAATTATCAAGAAGCACAGAGAAAAGAAAATCACCTTCATCAGTGACAATATTTTCCATTAAGACTACACAGTATCTGTCGAAAAATCGAAACGATTCTCATTCATTTTCGAAAAAAAATTATTTCAACGAGAGTTCAAAGAATGAGTTGGATGAGGTTAGAATCGAGATTCAGACCAACTTTCTTCAACTTGTTCATCAACATTGAAGTCCAATAGTTAAAGAAACTATCAACATAAATGTTGTATCACAATATTCATCCGATCTTATAGGTCGTTGTCTTTCAATCCCGACATTGACTTCATCACGAATTTAGAATGGAATTTGAATCGATTCAAAGTTTATTGAAAATCTTGAAGGATTGAATGCTTCCAATAGTCTCACTAATACCCTAACTTGTCCACGTCCCTAACTTGTACTCTTGAAAAGTGCCTTTAAATGGACAATTGTGTTGTTATGCAAATGACCAAATTTTGAAGTCCACCTGACGAATGGAATGCAAAAAGGTCTTCCATAACTCAATTTGCTCCATCGAATGAAACTTGTAATCGCTTCTGACATCACATTGCCTACTCTGAAAGGTATGAAAAGGTAAAAGAAGTGAACATTTCTTTAGATCCTCCTTCACTTGAATGGACTGCCCATTTGCTGCTGCCGCGCAGTTGAAGCGTTTGTTGAGCTTTAAACAGCCTTTACTCATTCACTAGATGGCGTAGAAAGAAAAAGAGAAACTAATGTTTTTTTATCCCGACTTTCCTTTCGACGTTAATTCCAGTTGTGAAAAGTAAGTTAATGGCTGAACGTTAACAATTGACTAAAGTATTATTTTTTGCTTCTGTTGTTTCTTCAAAGTTATGCCTATCTTGTTGGGAAACTCAGTACAAAGTTTTTTTGTTTATCGTTGAGTGTTTCACTGGACATCGAGAGAGAGAAAAAGTTATCAAAAATAAATTGTTCTATTCACAGTTGATTCAAACTTTTTGTTTTTGTTTTTACCCATTTTTGACACAAGGATTTACATAGAGCAACACAATGCAGGACGATATAACCACTTACATCCAAAATAACCACCATCATCACCTCCATCCTCACCACCTCTACACAACCTCAAGTCCAAACGGTGATCATCTACTGAATGCTGCTCATCAATCACCAACCCTTTCAATGCACCATCTTCCACCGCCACCTCCAGGATCACTTGGTGCTCAGGGTCAGTGTCAACCAGGACAACAGTTAGCAGCCCATCAGCCGCCACAACACACCATTTTAACAACTGCCAATACCAATCAAGATGTAAACCATCAAACCAACAATGGGGCTGAAAATAAAAAGAAACGTAAGTTTTGTTTCGTTATCTAAAAGGCCAGTTTGGCTAGAAAAAACTCAAAAGTTCGATCTTTGCTTACAACAACAACATCAACAATAAATTGTTTATCCAAATTGTTTAAACGTCAATGATGAACAATCATTTAGTCAATTTTCACCAAATTTTGTGCTCTTTTCTCCTCTAATTGTGTTAACCAGCTGATTAACAAATTGTACAAGTGGCTCAATTTGTAATGCAATTTGGTCTTGAAAAGGTTCAACAAAATGTTTAACAAGAAAAAACAATTTCAACAATTGGTCAAGAACGTAAATTGATTTTTGCTAGACATTCGTTTGCCTTTTCTCTCTCTTTACCTTTTCGCTAAGGTAAACTTGAGATGATTATGATGATGATGATGAGGATGATAAAAATCTGAAGGTTGATCAGCAAGAAAAAGGAAGGAAATTTAAGTCGGAATCAGTCTTGAAAATAAAAGAAAATGATGATAATAATGAAGATATTGTTGCATTGGGCTAACATAATTTTCGGTTTTCAAGAAGATTAAGAAGAAGATGATGACGAAGAAGAAGAGAGTTTCAAAAAATAAGAGGAAAGCAGGTAAAGTAGACTGAAAGAGAGTAAGAATATATATTGAAAAGAATTTATTGCCGACCGCAAAGTGATGAGAAAATTGATCTAAACCATTGAGAAACAAATCACTAACAATCTTTTTTCATCATCATTCTCGTCATATTATTTCATCTTCTGTTGTTTGAAGCAAAAAAGAGATGAACTTGTGTAAGGTTAAAAGTCTGTTTACTTTCACCGGGCCTCCAACCTTTATTCACCTTCAAAAACAATTTCCGTTAGATTAACTTTTCAGTTAAGCAATGACCCAATCTCACCTTCCTACCTTCACCTCCTCCTACACCTAAACGAGCATCATTGCTAATTGAAAGCCAAAAGCCAATCCATCGACATCCAAAAGCATTTCAATCAGACTCAAATCTACTTCAAAAATATCCTTTAAATCGTCCAACTCTCGTCACAATAATAATGCAAAATAAGCCAAAAACTTCGAGTGCAAGTTTTGTATCTTTACAACTCTTGAACTCGAATCAATCTCAACTCAGAATGAAACTTTTGATTTTTCGACTTTTTCAATCCGAAAATTTCTTTTACAAATAATGAAACTTTTGATTTTCTGGAGTTTTTTGAGTTTTTCAATTTCTCGTTACAAATGATGAAAATGCAAATTTTGGTTGAGCCTTTGAGTTCTGTGAACGATAAAAAGTTGAATTAAATGTTGAATCGTTTAACACTCTTGAGTATTAAATGGTAAATGAAGACGCTTCCGAGATGATGAGTGGGAGATTAATGTCTTGCTTCATTCAGATTATCTTTAGGTACATTAAGGCTAACAGCATATGGTCAATGAAAGTTGCAAGACTCGTGCTTAATAGTATATTAGTATTACTATTACTACTAGTAGTAGTTACTACTTTTGTGATCATCATCATAATCATCTTGAGTGAGGCGAAGGAGAAGAGGAAAAGTGACCGGACGTAGTGGTTAGAGTGAGTCAAGGGAGAGGAAAGAGATTCAGTGAAGACAGGTAGATGAAGGTGAGCCTTGATGAGTGAGTGGATCCGTTGTTGTTGTTGTTTAACTTAACAGCAAAGATAAAAACTGCATCAACCATCTGTTACAACAATTAACAACAACAACAACAACATTAACATCATCATCTTGATGATGTTGAAAAGAAATTGAAAAGAATGGAGAAAAAAATGGAATCGATTTTTTCTCTCGTTATTTTTTTCTCCTCTCATTAATTGATCACAAAATAGATTAAAATTAAGGACAAGGAAAAGGAGAGAGAAAAAAGAGTTTTCAAGATTTACCGGATTTCTGTTCAATTCATGATCATGATTTCCTTTTCAATCCTTTCTTCTGAAAATTCAATTTTCATGGCAACAAAGGTGCTAAAGGTCATCATCATCATCATCAATTGAATTCACTCGAATCATGTGATTCATCATTTATCAATGATGACTTCTTGGGTGTATTCGTTCTGTAAAGTTCTGAGGAAATCTCTTGGAAAAAAGTCATTTTCTTAAGAACAAAAAAGTGAAGAAGAAAAAAAGATTCCTTAAAATGTGATTCTCATGTTACTCTGTCTTTTGTATATTCATTGTCACACTGTTTCTATTTATTAACATCATTATTATTACCATTATCTTCATCTTCATCATTATCAGCATCACCATTGAGAGTAACATCTCATCCGTTCTATTCCATCTTTTCACACCAATTTGACCCTGAAAACTCATGAAGATAAATGTTATTCAACGACAAGATAGGCACATATACATACAATTCTGACTTAATCTTTCACCCGTGAATATCAACTGAATAATAATGGATGAAAAATATCAGCAAAAAGAGATTCTTTTTTTTTCTTCTTCTTCCAACTTTTTTACCTTCTTACAAGAAGCTCAACAGATAACAACAGCAAAAGAGTTTAGTCAAAAAAAAAGTCAAGAAAACAAAATGATAACTGAATAGATGATGATGATGAAAACAACAGTAGCTGAGTAGGAAATAGACAAAAAGAGATTAAATAATATCATTTTCATGAAAGGCGATCATGAAAAGAAAAATGTTGGAATAATGAACAATTCTCTTCTTTTTTTAACCAAAGATGTTGAATAAGAAATGTTCATTAGGTAATGAAACAAATGCAACAAATTAGGGTTTAACTTTAGTTGAATAGCAAAGTGAAGAAGCAGAACTGAATGAACTTCAGACTTTGCTCCATGAATATTGCAAGATTGAAGGAGGAAATTGTCCAATTAAGATTGTTGGAATTGCTATTTCTGTGATTTAAAGTTTTCTCGGATTTGCTAATCAGAACATTTTGTTTGATTGGAAATGTAAATATTAGTAAAGGTCCAAAGAAACTGAACATTGTGCGCTTTTTAGCTACTCAACGAGGCGTGCTTATTGGATAATAAGTGCAAGATGAAATGATATTAATAGATACTCGTTTCTCTCGTTTTATCGCATGGCTAAATTAGCTTATCGGGCGATCAGTTTTACTCGTGTTTTCATTGGTAATGAAAGTTTTACGAACTTTTTGAATTTTAATAAAATGACGAAATTGCAAGCAAATTGAAACAATCAAAGGCAATGAACGTAATCGTTGAAATTAACTCTTTTTTTAACTCTCAATGCCATCAATTTTCATCACTTTTGTGCCCAACGAAGGCAGAAACTTTTCCCAAAAAGTAGAGAAAAAAAATTACAGTGTAAGTTGAAAAAAAAGTCAAAGTAAATCAAATTTGATGTACGTTGACGTTGAACAAAAGAAGATGAATTGGTGAAGATGAGGAGTGAGGGAGGAGCGCGAGGCTGATGACATTGTTACCTGTGGATGATGGGAGGAAGGAGGAGAGAGTAAGGTGGGAGGTAAAGTGCAACAAGTGGTTTATTAGAAGAGGAAAAACTATTACATGAAGGTAATGACGAAAGAAGAAGAAGAAACAAGATTGAAGATTCTTCTTGAAGAAGACAAAAAAAAGTAGATGAATGAAGGGAAGAGGGGTGGTAAATGGTGAGAGGGAGAGAGAGAGAGTGGAAAAGGAGTGGATCCGGTTGAGTAAATTGTTGTTGCTGGTGAACTATTGTTGCTAAGGTTGAGAGATTAAATGCGAGAAAAGGACAAGAAAATCAGTGACTTGGAACCCTCCTTGAGAGATTCAACAACACTAACCATTTTTGAGTCTTAATTTCCTTAATTTTTGAAGGTAATAAGAGAAAGAAAGAAAGAAAAGATTGAAAAAAAGAGAAAAAAAAGAAAGACTTTTCTTCCTCTCTCTCTATCCTCACTCCTTACTTAGTGTTTCCGTTCAAGAATCAACTTTTCTCTCTCTCTTTCATTCTCCTTCCCTCTCCACCCTGATTACCTGTATACCTATCATTCCCTCTCTGACCTTGGGTGTCTTGTCAGATTAATATCAATTTCTTTCGTTCTTTGCGTTTTCCTGTCTTTTGCCACCTTCCTCACCCTCATCCTCCATCATCTTCGTCTTCCCATTATAAGAATAAGTTTCGTCTTTTCATTCCATTTCTACAAGAAAAATCTTTTAATGACAACTTTTTTTGTTAATTTGTCGACTGCCTTTCAATTTTTAGGCCACTTTTTGGTAATAATGATTTCCCTTTAAAATGATGATAATGATACTCTTTGTTGACTGTTGCTTCTTTTTGTAACTTCACTCAATGTTGCGGTTGCAAAACTCACAGAGTTGTTCAGTCTCACCCTGAGGCTTTTCTTTTCGTTTAAATTTGATTAAACTTTTTGTACATATCAGTTGAGTATCACTGGAGACGCCTTGTTACTGGATACAATCAAGTAAATAATGATTATAATAGCAACTAGTAGATGGTTTTCAATCTTTTCAGCTCATCTTTACCTTTTCTTCTTCTTCTCTCTCTCTCTCTTTTTTTCTCGCCATTGTTGATTACTTGTGTTTACTGAAAGGATGATGATGATGATAAAGGATGAGATTCATGATAATGACAGTAACATGAAATCTAATCACAGAATTGAACTCCACCCTTGTAGATGAGCTGAAACCAAAGGCTACTATTGAACAACATTTTGTTTTCACAAACTTCATCAACTTTTCATCAACATCAAGTTATAAATATCAACATTTGAAAGAGAAAGTTGAACAACAATTATCTTCATCTGAAGCAATTCATTTTCATTTTTCAACATTTGTCACATGAAGCCAGAAATGCCTTGAAAGGTAAACACAGAAAAGTTGAAGGAAGGAGTAAAAACAGTAAAAGATGATGTCGATGGAAGATACGCTCGCTTGAATTCATTAAAAAACAAGAAGAAAAGAAAATCTCTTTCCATAACTTTTCTCGTGTCTTTACCTGTGTATGTTTTTTCCCATCTATTACCTGTTCCTTCCAATATTATCTTTTCACTCTTTTTTCTCTCTCTCTCTGCAAGT